CTGGCCCAGGATGATGTGGTGGACTTTGGGGAGCCCCCATCTAGGGCCCTACCCTGCCTGGGGAGTGAAAAGATGGATGGGGTGGAGGGGATGGGAAGGAGGAGTTGTGGAGGGAGGTGAGCGAGAGGGAGAAGGGATTGACATGTGAAGCAAGCTTGTTCCTAATTTGAACTAATAAAAAAAATTTAAAAAGAGTGCTTGAAAGAATAAAGGGCTATGATGAAGAATGAGTGATTTTTTTTTTATTTGAGTCTCAGAGGGATATGATCAAATGATTAAGAAAATTGTTACAAAGGAGACAATTACTGAACTTTTTCAGAGTAGAAGACAAGTCACAAAAATAGGGAACAAAATTTTTTAAATGTCTGTTTTTTTTTTTTACAAAACAAAAGAGAGCTCATTTTAAAGCACTATAGGCTTTGTAAAAGTAAAAAATAGGAGCATGAAGACATGCTCAATGTCTTCAAAACCAAGAGAATAGTCATGCTAACCAAGAACATGCAGCCAGCAAAGATCTTTTCAATAAAGATTATGTTAGAAATTTTAAATTACTATACTATACCCAGGAAAAGAAGTTCTCACAGTTGGTCCATGAACACCTCTCTATCCATAAAGGCAGCAAGATTTTAAAGAGCTTTTATTTGTTGTACTATCTCAGAAAACATGTGCCCAACTGGGAGTGAAGAAAATATTTTAGCTATTGAGTCTGCTAAGGCGCATTTTAATATAAATATTATGGCTTTTGTAGCCATTGACTAGAACTTAGCTTAAGAGTTGAATGAGAATTCTTCATTACCCCGGGGTACTTAAAAATGAAATCCTAAACTTGGACACTTGGGATGTCAAAGGAGGAGACAAAATGAAAGGTTTCAACATAAAAGTCTGTTGGTAGTCGTTAAATTAAATTTTCATTTTTATTAAAAAGCTGTGTTTTAAATATCTGACTGTGGGTTTGCCTGGATTAGAAAGACTAACATGCTGATAAAGTCACTAAGTCAGTAGAGTTAGGCTTTCTACTAAAATACCACTATTTTACTGTTATGTTGAAAAATATTGTCAGCAGACAGCAGCATAGAAAGCAAACAGCACTTAACTCTGAGGGCCCCTAGCTCATTCAGTGCTGATTGCATGTAAAAGCCAATAGGAAACATTAGCTTGATGACCGAGGGAGCTCCATCAGCTAGCTACCTTATAATTTGTGTACTTGGGTTTGGTATCTTTGGCCTATGAAGACACTTTGTGAACTTTAGAATTAAGGAAGTCAAAATCATTCCCTAAGTCCCCATTGGTATTTGAAGATCATATTTTATTAGAGCTTTAATGTGGAACTAAAGAACTAAAGATTATTCAAATCACATCTGTAGATACTGACCAAAATAATATCTTTTTTCAATTTGTGGGTGTTTAGTCTCTTCTTATAAGAATGCAATTTATGTGAAAATGCTAATGTGAAATTATTTTAAGTACTTTGGGAGATGATGGACTTGTCCTACCTATGTTTTAAAATTAGTAAATATTGTCTAACTAAGCATGATAGATGGTTTTAATTTATATTAATTAAGAGATTACAAATAATACACATATCACTATATGGTATTAATAAATACAATTGAAATAAAAAATAAATAATATGGCTTTCAAAATAACTATTTTGACAGTTACTGTGAGCACCAATTTAGGGCTTTAAATCTCTTTTTGCTGTCAACACTAAAATTAATTCAGAGCCATGTCACCTAGGGTAATAGAATAAGGTCAACCAAAATACCTTTTTCGGAAAAGCAACAACTAGCTGTTAATGGCAAAGTCAACATTTTTAGAATCCTAACAGGCAGGGTATAGCTTAAAGGGACAGTGCTTTTTTAACATACACATGGCCCTGGGTTCATCTCTAACACCAAAAAGAAAAAAAATCTAGAAAATAATCAAAGGCTTACAGCAGCCTAGACAGCAAGTGTTCCATCAAGCTGAATGTGTCGGGACTGTGTGGAATATGATCTGACTAGTGAATTCCAAGAACATGAACATGAGCCTACTGCTACTCTGCTTTGGCTGTGCAATGAGTTCCCTGGTCAGAAACAATGCAGTGCAGTAAGGCATGGCGGTGGATAAGGTGTTCTGCAAGTCCCTGGGCAACAGTTTGAGCAGAAGCTTCTGTACATGAAGTACAAACTCATAACCAGAATTCAAGCATCTATCCTTGTAAGGACAAAGTGCTGCCCTTTCCATGATGGATGTGTTCTAATGCTGTCAACCCGCCACCACTCTGAAAGAGGGAATTCCTCCCACAGTCCACCTTCTTTGGATAGTCCTCAGGTGTCTGTCTGTTATATGACCCCAGATCCCATCAAGTTGATGGTGAATATCATCACTCACAATGTCAGAGACATCAAAGCTGGAGGGCCCCTTCCCCACATCTCTCCACCTTCAGTTCATTTCACTCTTCAAAAATGACCAGATGTTCATCTGCTATGGAGGGCTTTCTGTATCTGGGTCAATACATCAGTCAGTTTTAATATTGGACACATTTCCCAAATCCATAGCTTTAAATGAGAGCACTACAGCACACACAATGCAGAGGATAGGGGCCTAAATGTCAGGGCAATGCGGGAAACTGCTAGAAGGCCATGACACAGGTGTGAGGGGATCACCATGTTGTGTTTTTCTTCCACAACAAACTTAGAGGTGTGTGCTACTCATATTTCCTCCTATTTTTAAGGAGTCATAGATTTAATACCCTGTAAGGCTCCACAGCAATGGCACAGCCCACTCTCTGATGTGCAATGAGCCACACAACATATCTATCAAGAATGGAAATCCCATTTCATCCTCTCTCCTCTCAAGTCTTGTGGTCACATGCTGCAGTTATTCTTGGGGTCATGTGCAGGCTAGAGGATGCTTTCTTGTCATAGGATTAAACAGGTGTCCTTATACAACTGATCAAAAGGACTTCAAGCTTCAATATTTTTGTAGCTATCACGTCTCTATTGACTCTTTGATACAGTCACAGAAAGACTTTATTTAGAAGCCAGAGTTTTTTCAAAATTCATTCTGTTCCTCAAGAAAAATAGTAAGAAAAACAAAAACAGACAAACAAACAAAAAACAGGACCAGAGAGATGACACAGACATTAAGAGCACAAGCTGCTTTTCCTGAGGATCCAGGTTCAATCCCCAAGGCCCACAAGTCTGCCCATAACCATCTGTAACTTTAGTTTCTAGGGATCTGATGTTCTCTTCTGGCCTCTACCAGCATTGCACACATGTGGTGTACATACTTACATGCAGAATACACACACACACACACACACACACACACACACACACACACACACACAATTTTTAAAGAAAAAAATCAAAAGCTAAATTCTTTACATTTTATTTGACAAAATAATACACATTAAATATTAGTAAAGACAGGGAAGTAATTCGTATTGGTGCACTTGAAGGTTCTTAGAAAACAACTTAGAAAGAAACCTGGCAGACTTGGCAGGTACCCGCTTTCAAAAGTAAGAAAGGAGTCAAGTGAAAAAGCTTACCAGAAGAGGATAAATTTTGTCAAAGCATTTTTCGGTGTAAATATTTATCTGTGGCCTGTACACTTCACCTTATCTCATGTTACATTATATGCATAATGAGCATAAAGTGCAGATGTGATAAATACTTATTAAACTGAAGAACTAGCGAAGATCCTCAACTGCATCATTTCAAACAAACAAACCAGCTCGTACTTTTGAGCCTTTTGGTGACACGATTCGACAGGGGGTCATATTCCAATTGATTGGCTCCTTGGAAGAAGTAGTAGTGTCCTAAAATGGAAACAAATTCAATTCTTTAATTCTTATCGTGTCTTCCTTTAAAACATAGAGTTAATTTTATAGGTTATCTAGACTACAAAAGGTGTGACTGAGATGTCAATATCGGGGACCCTTGGCAGTGCACCCTGCTCTGATGTTCCCCCCTGAGCAAGTCACTCTCTGGGTGGAGGTCTCAAGACTAGGATCTAGGTCAGGCATACAGTGATCTGGAAGGAGGAAAAGGCTAGAGAAAACTCAAATTTGTTTTTGAATCTTGGTCCACTCAACAGGAGAGGAGAAGGAATAAAATGAGGTTCCCATTCTTGTTAAACGTGTCATGCAGCTCATCTCACACAATGTGGGTTGTATTGTTGCTATGTGACACTGATAGGCAAGTTTGCTCAGGCTGAAGTGGAACATATTCACACCACAAACACAAGCATCTTATACCCACCCTGGATCCCAGTCTGTGGTATCACACTTTAAAATGTGATTTCCAATATTTTCCCACTCTATTTACCTTTGAAAGAGAAGCCTGCATCAATTTTAGGCTTAATTCCTGAGAAGTGCAAGGAAATAAGTTTGGGATAAGTAGGGTCCATGGACTGCTTCCTCACATCGTATCTGTAGGAGGAAACAGCAGGAACACAATAAGAAAATGGGCTTAATAACATGAAGCCCACGTTGGTCTTTCCTGAGAGAGTTTTAAATGTACTGATGAAAAATGCAAAGACATAAACAGTTGGTTGGTTTTCCCTAAGTAACTACAAGGGTCAAAACTTGAACCTTGACTCTAGTCAAATCTCTTTCCATTCTCACAGTGCTTTCCCCACTGCTTAGTCCCTTCCCACACAGCCTGGCATTGAAGAGGGCTTGATATGCGACATTCCTCAGTGGCCCAATGACTTAGTTGTCTATCACCATTTTTTGCAAATCTTTTCTAGCAAGACACATATCAATGATTTTTTCCCACAGTGAAGAGAAGGGGTACTTAAGAGTCATGGAACCAATGGGTTTCGAACATCCATGTTAAAGAAAAACTAAAAGTAAAACAAGTCATGTCCACACTGGAGAGTGGGGGGGCCCTAGTATTTCCATAAAGTCTCTTTTACCACTGAGTGAAAAGAGTCAATTTTTCTTTAGACTTCCACATGACAGTTGAAACATAGTTGTCTTATTTTTCATTCAGTTTAGTTCTCCAACCATTGTTTGCTTGACACTGTCCCTCTGGAATTTAGGAAAAGGAATTCCCCTGTCAGTTGGAAGTATAAAGGGGGAACCAGTAGTCAGACAAATTTCTAAGAATGTTAGATTACTCTGGGTGGTGGTGATACACAGCTTTAATCCCAGCCCTCAGGAGGCAGAGGCAGGCAGATCTCTGTAAGTTTGAGGCTAGCCTGGTCTGCAGAGTGAGTTCCAGGACAGCCAAGACTGTTTCACAGAGAAACCCTGTCTTGAAAAATCAATCAATCATCAATAACAACAAAATAAAGAATGTTGGATTACAATAAACTGCACCTGTTTGTCACCTATTCAGAAAGTCTTATTTGGTGAAATCACAAGTCCTATTTCTCAAACAAGGCTAAAGTTGTCAAACCAATTCATGTCACAAATATATGGCATTCAGTTGAAATTAGATATTGAATTTTAAGTATTCAAGAAAACATAGAGGCTTTATTATCTTAGTATAACCTGTTAATGTCTTATGCCAAGTATGCAAACTGTTTTCTTCAGAAGAACGTAGGGATGATCCCTCCCTCTTTCAACATTAGGTGAGTAAGATAACCAGGCCCTGGTTTCCTTGTGGCTCTCTTGTCACACAAAGGGCAGGCTACTCATGTTGTCTTCTGGGTCCACTGGTTATGAGAAGGAGTCCTGGAGTCCAAACACTCTCCAAAATGAAATTAAATAAAAACCAAAGGCCCAGAGTAAAGAACCAGGTCGATAGTGACTGTTTCAGACCTGTGTTCTCTTGCTGCCTATCCCTAGGCAAAGAAATTAGAAACCTTCATAGAAAAGCTGCCTTCTGTATCCAGTGCCCTCACACAGTCATGCCTGTAGGCAAAAACTCCAATAAAATAAAAATTTTAAATATGCAGATGATCATTAAAAAGCAAACAAACAAACGAAAGCTGACTTCTTGAAAATTCCAAGATGTGCCTGCTTCTCAAATCTTTGTGGACAAAGTGCCTGCCATTGGACCTCACCTCCAATATCGTCTATCCGAGAAGAAGTAGACCTTATGATGAGATGGGTCAAAGATGGCTGCATCAATGTTTTTCACAAACGCAGGGAAGCCCAGAGAGGATATGTTTCTGGGATAGTGTGGCTGTGCTACTAAGTTGTTTATTAACCAGTACTTGTCATCTATAAGGACAAAGACAAAGAACACAACAAAATCACACCAAAGAATAATACAAATACTGACTTACTATAAAACATCTCTCTTGTGCAGAATTCTAAAATTAATTTTATTTTATTTGTGCTTGGGGGTGGGAGGCAAACCTGAGACTCCATCCATAGTAAATAGGTTCTCTGTCACTGAGAAATTGTCACCCCAGTCTTTTTTGTTCTCAATCATTGGTTTACCTCCCTGGTTCTATGGTTTGGATGTGTTAAGTGCCATTGACTCATCTTTTATACACCTATCCCAGAACTTATCAATCAGATCTCTGATAACAGAATTGATACCCTTCCCTTTACTTCTCTCCTCCTTAAAGTGTTCTCAGTGGCAGAACCAAGCATTGGAGTTACCTTTAAAAAGAAAGAGTTGATTTCTGCCTTTGATTTCATAAGCAGCTTGAATACCAGATGGGATGGTTGGCCACATGGAAGAAATTGAAGTGACGGTGGCTGGACTCCCAGGCAACATCCACCAGACGAACCTGGTGGGAAACGCATTTCATAAATGTGAAAAACTGCTGTAGATTTGTATTCTTCAAAAACACAAATGAGAACTTGTGAAATGATTCAGTATTTTTTTCTTGCACATTCTATTCCAGGGATTTCTGTGTGCGAGCACCTTGAAAGAAAACCTGACTTAAATAGGAACCCCCCCCAAAAAAACACCCAGGGTCTGGACTCCAGGGATCTAAGATTCTGGTGTGGCTTCACAAGGTTGTAAGGTTATCTGGTTTTGAAGAAATTACTGTTTTATAATCTCAAAAGCAGGAATCCATCCTCTGTCCCACGCATTAGCCCTCCCCACTGCTCTCCCTGCTAGCCAGCATCTGTTTACATCTCTGCTCCAAAACAGAAACTAGAGTCATTCTGGAATTCTCCACGTACAAGGAAGCCTACACATGATCTTCTTCAAGAGTTCGTGAGTGTGTGTGTGTGTGTTGGGGGGAAGGTCTTCATGTATATGTATATGTGTTTGTGAACATGTATGTGGAGACCACAAGTGTCTTCCTCAATCACTCCACACCCTCTATCTTTTGAGACATATGTTCTCATTGAGCCTGGATTTTTGGGTTCAGTTAGACTGGGTTAGACTCCACAAGCCCCAGCAACCCTGCCCTCCTTCCCTGCACTGGGATTCCTAGTCCATGCAGCTGCCCCTGGGCATTTCTGTGTGGGGCTGGGGACTAATATCAGGCTTTCTTTGAACACTGCATACTTTGCCAACCGAACCATCTCCTCAACCTCTGAGACCTCATCATTTTTACCTGGGCTTCTCCACTTCCTGTCTTTTAATTCCCCAGCCAGATTCCTACTACAAAGCAATTTTTTTCACACACTAGCTTCCTAGTCAACACAAATGGCATCACACCAATTCACTATTTAAAAAAAAAAAATCTAAGATCTCTCTAAAACTTGGGAATCAAGTTCTACAAATTTACCTTACAAATTTGATCTACATCCTTTCAAATATCTTCTGACAAAAAACAAACAAATAAAAAACTAGCAGATTTAGCGACATATCCTGTAGCATTCATTAGCTATGAAAATGACCATACCTGTCTTTAAAGAAAAGGATTTTGTCTCCCACTGTTGTGACGGCATCAAAGCTCAAGCTTTGCTGACAGATAGTTGCTGCTGATGGAATGACAGGATTTCTCAAGGGTGGGTTTTTCACTGGGGATCCTGAAAATACATTTTGATGTTCATTTGGGGAAATTTTGTAAGAGGAAAGGCTATTCTTTTTAAATATTCTGTTTCTTAAAAGAAAATACAAAACAGTCATGCTTCCAATGAAATTCATAAGAAGCCTGCCCTGAGGACTTTGTCCCACTTAGTGGCAGCATCACAGATGAGAATAATTGAATTTCTTTTCTCCGGAGGCCCCATCAACAGATCAGTGATGCCATTGTTAGAACACATTCCAAATATGAGGCGAAATTACGATAGTGTTTGCAGCCTATCACATGACATTTAAATTACTAAAATCTTCTAAATATACAAATGAGATTATTCATAAGAACACAGGGTATAGTATGGCAAATTATGAGGTTCAGCTTACCATAGAGAGACTGAATACTTTGTATGTCATCAGCAGGAAGGCGGAATGTGTTGGGGTTAACATAACTATAGCTAGGGTACATTACTGAGTTTGGATTGTTGGAATGCCGCAGCCCCAAGGAATGGCCAAGTTCATGAACAGCAACGAGGAACAGGTTTGTGCCTGAGAAGCAAGGAGGTAAAAGAATAAATCTGTGAAATGGATTATCACTTTTTATTTAACTCACACATGAAATTGTACATGTTTACAGGATATTATGTGATATTTTGATGGCTACACTCATTGCATAATGTTCAAGACAAGATAAATATATCTTTTCAAATATGTACCACTTTTTTGTGGTGAAAGCACTCAAAATCCTTTCTTTCCAGCCTTTTGAAATCAATAGTACACTACTATTGTCTATAGTTGTATTGATGCACCACAGTGTCAAGACTATGGCTCCATGCTCCTAACTGTGACTTAGCACCAAGGGCTCAGCCATCACCCATCCATCGCCCCTTTCTCCTCAGCCACTGGGAACCACCATTCTGTTGTAACATTTGTGAGACTAACTTTTCTCATGTCTCAATATGAATGAGATAATAGGGTGCTCATCTTCTTATGCCTGACCTTTTTACAGAAAACCCAGTTCCATTCAAGGGATGGGAGCCAATCCTTTAGTGGCTGAATGTCATCCCCCTGTGACTATGCTGTGCCATGTGAGTGCAGGTGCCTGCAGAGGCCACAGTTGGGCAGTTGTGAGCTGTCCAACCTGGGTACTGGGAATAGAACTAGAAAGAGGGCCCTCTACCAGCTAGGTACACTCTGAGCCATCTTTCCACCCCATTGCCTTGCCATTTGGAAGGAAATAATACAACATCTAACACAGTAGAGGGGATGTTTGAGGCTCCTTTGCTTGTTTCCCAGCTCTTTCAAATAGCTTTTCTCAGCCTCAATAGTGTTGTCATTATAGGCTAGGTAAGTACTGCCAGAGCCATCCTCTATTACAGATATTTAGAGATCTCTAGTTGCACCACTCTGTGGAAGTATGAATCCCCACTTCTGTTTTTAACTGAAAATGTCCCTTTGGAGCCAAAATTGTCTATAGTTATGGACCATCTCATTGCCAGATAAGTGAAACATTCTGGCATGATTCTTCCTAACATAAATCACAGGTATGTTTGATAGCTCACATTGCTTCAAATTCTTTCTTAAAGCTGGGACAATTGCATGTGTCTGTTGTCCAAGCCACTCAGGAGACTGAAACAGGGGGATTGGATAAGTCTAGAAATTCAAGTTCATAAGGTTTTGTAAAATTAACTCCCATCAATGTTCATCTGCAAACAGGGACTTTCTGTTTGTCTGGTTTTCTGTTAAGTTGCATGCTCCTGGGGAGGATTTGTCCTTTTTGTCTCTGAATCAAAAATGTCACTCAACACTGTAACAGAAACTCATCAAGCACCTATCAGAATCTTCATTACTGGTTCAAAACAATACATCAATACTGGGTATGGTACTATATGCCCATATCCCAACTCAGAAAGATGGTGTAGGGGGAACATGAGTTCAAGGTCAGCCTGGGCCACACAGATAGAATTTTCAAAAACACCCTTTTTAAAATATAAAGTCAAATCAATTTTTAAATTAAGACCAGGAATAGCCAGGTGGTGGTGGCACATACCTTTAATCCCAGCACTTGGAAGGCAGAGTCAGGAGAATCTCTGTGAGTTCAAGTCCAGCCTGGTCTACAAAGCTACACAGAGAAACCCTGTCTTGGCAGGGGGAGAAGGTCAGGAGCCAATAGTACATGTTCTAGTCATACACAAACTTGCTACTGACTTTTGCTTGTTCTCCTCAGGTGAGAGCAACTGCACTGATTTACGTTTCTACGGTCCATTAGAATTCCAAAGCATTGTCACTTGGTGAAGAACTTGCAACCAGCCCCCAAATGACCCTAGAGAAAATCTCACACATGGACCATATTTGGTTGAGAACGTGTAGTTCAGCAAGTGCCAAATCATACATGATCTACCTTTCAGCCTTCAAAATGCCTTTATCAAAGCTGTGTCAAAGCAGTAGTCTATGTGTCTACCTTTCTATTTGTAAAAATATAGCTATACATCATATGAAAAATCAGTCAGAGAAGGGAGATTCAGGGTAGAGAGACCACATTCTTGAATGTCTCCCTATGTTTTCCACATGAATGAACTGTATAATTGAGAACTTCCAAGAGATATTAGAAAAGCAACTGAAATGATGGCTTAAATTTTCTTTTCCTAGGGATGGCCTCTAATAATAATAATAAATTAATAATAAGTTAACCTCATTCCCCATTATCTGAGTGGTATAGTGAGTTCCTGTTCCAATTGATTGATTGGACATTCTGAAAATGGTATCCCAAGATCAAGCAAGGCTCCCAGACTACCTAAGAGCTTATCCATAGGGATCTGTAAATTTTCTATAAATATCTTGCCACGTCATCATGAATCTAAGAAATTGTCACTATACAATCAATCACAGAATTAGCGTTTGCTTTTAAGTTTATAGATTTTACTGGCAAAACCCTTTCCAAGAGTTTACTGTACAGAACTTGCTCATAGGATCACTAACGTAATCACACCCAATACCCCAGTTTGCAATGAGGAAACATTGGACTAAATATATAAAATCTTAAATTTGATTTAGAGGTAAACAATCAAAATTTAACATTTAAGACTATAATATTTCATCAAAATGTATTCTTTCAAGATCAGGGCCTATGTTAAATTTAGTTATGGTTAGTTTTCATTAAAAAAAAGAAAGAAAACTCTCCTACCTCGAGAACCTTTACTCCAGGTCTCTGCCTCATCAAAATGTGCGTCTCCTTGGATACCGGGTCCAGGGTAAAAAGCATGTGCTATTGTGCCACCTCTGCCATCAAAAGCACTGAAGTCTCCATGAGCTTTTTAAAACAAAGAAAGTCATTAGTCAGCTACATCTGTCAGAAGGTATGCCATCACAGAGCACAACACTTGGTGGCATCATGGGTGTGTTGAATGATGCCGTCACACAGCCTGACAAATGACACAGGTGAAGCTGTGTACCTCCAGATGCAAACAGTATCATAATGTCCGCCTGGCCTGTATAAATCTTCCTGAATCTCAACGGGGTCACATCACTCCAGACTCGAAAAGCTTTCTGAAATGCCCTGTCAACGTCCTCACGCTTCATGTCAGGGGTGTAATTATAGATCCTGTGTTAGAGAAAGAGGGAAACAAACATGACATTATTGGTTAATTTCATCTCTTCTAGTCTCTTAGTTCTGCACCCACGCCTGCCAGAAGAACTTCCCCACGTACGGACAGTCCATGTTAAAAAAATGTTGAACTTCAAACCATTTTTTTCTTTGGAAAACCTTTATCAATCAAAATGTAATTTAATTTCTTCTTATTTATAAGTTACTAGTAATTATTGTGAAGGATTCACTTTCTTTTTTATTAATTTATTTTTTACATTCCAATCGCAGTTCCCCCTCACTCCTCTCCTCCTGCTCCCCCTACAACCCACCTTCTCCCATCTGCTCCATGGAGAGGGTAAGGTCTTCCCTAGGAAGTTTGTGAAGTCTGTCCCATCATCTAGTTGAGGCAGGAGCAAGGCACCTCTCCATCCCCACACCCTTGTGTCTAGGCTGGGCAAGGTTCTCTCCATATAGAATGGGTTCCACTAAGTCAATTTGTGCATTAGTGTTAGATCTTGCACCCACTGCCATTGACCTCATACATCGTCCCAGTCACACCATTGTTACCTATATTTAGAGAGTCTAGTTTGGTCTTATGGAGGTTCCCTGAGTCAGTGATCTCTCACTAGCTCAGGTCAGGTGATTATGTGGGTTTCCCCATCATCGTCTTGACTTCTTTGTTCATATTTTTGCTCCTCCCTCACTTCAATTGAGCTTGGCTCAATGGTTAGTTGTGGATTTCTTCATCTTCTTCCATCTGTTTCTGGAAGAGGGTTCAAGCTTCTCTGGGGTTGTAGATTGTATGCTGGGTATCTTTTGCTTTATTTCTGGTGTCCACTTATGAGTGAGGTTTTGGGTTACCTCACTTAGGATGGTTTGTTTTCTAGTTCTGTCCATTTGCCTGTAAATTTTAGTATATCATTGTTTCTTACAGCTGAGTAGTACTCTGTTGTATAAATGTACCACATTTTCTTTATCGATTCTTCAGTTGAAACCTCATAGAAGAGGATTTGCTTTCATAAAAACAAATAGGCATTGTGCCCAAACTCCACATTTGTCCATCTTTAATATTCTGCAGACTTCTGTCTTTTATTTGTATTCGATTCAGTTTTGTTTGGTTTGCTTGCAGTTTTTCTGTTCTGCACTGGACTGACTGACAAGAGAATGACTGCAAGTCTTCCTTCAGTGAACAACTGTCCTTATAGAGATAATGAATTGTGTGTGTAGGGGGATGTGCCTGGGTAGGTATGTGTGTTGTGTGCGCATGCATGCATGTAGAGCCCTGAAGTAGACTCAGGTGTCTTCTCAATCATGCTCCACTTTATTTATTGAGGCAGAATCTCTCAACCATACCAGAGACCTTGATTCTGCTAGTCTCCCTAGCCAGCTTGCCCTAGGCATCTCTTATCTCTGCCTTCCATGTGCTGGGATTACAGACAGCCACCATGCCTGTAATGGTGTTCCCATGGACTCTTGGGATCTGAACTCTGACTCCCACGTATGACAAGCACTTTCTCCATTGAGCCATCACCTTAACAGCATACAGAGGCTACTCTTAGATTTAAAACTTTGTTGTGGCTAAATGTTTCAGGTTTCTAGAAGCCACACCCATGGGAAAGTAGAATTCACTAGGGTGTATACGAACATTACCTGTAGGTGAGGTGATGCTTCGTCCATTTTTGCATCCCCGGCAATTCTCTGAGATTCTCCACATCAGGAACTCCACATCGAGGTGTGTGCATTATCATCAGAGTCTGGCTGTCCAGTTGCCCAGTTGCTTTGAGCCCAAAGAACTGCTGCATTTCCTGGATTTTTTCTTCAAGGAGGTTTCTCTTGGCTTTCCATTTTGTTTTTTGAATTCTGTCCTCTTTAAGGTCATAAAATTTTGTCAAGTACCTCTGGACAAAACACAAGTAACATACTCAGTTATACTGTACATGCTGTACACGGCCAGGGTTCTGTTGGGAGCCCTGCAAACATGGCCAGCAACATGATGATTTCCCTGAACTAGGTATTTCAATCACAGCCTACATTATTACTATTTAGACACCAACTACAAGGAAGAAAAAAATTAACTTCCTATGCTATTTAAACATGTCATAGTCAGACTCACCAAAGACCGGTGGAAAACTACTTGTTATTCTGTGTCTTCAGGTTTGCTTCTGGGTTTTTAGAAGCTATTTTAACATTGACTATAGAAGGACACATTGTAAGTGGCAAAATCTTTATTTTCAGGGTGCTTAAGCCATTTAGGTTGCATCAAAACTTGACTTAACCGGCAAAGGTAGCTTAGTGATGGGACACTTGCCTAGCATGCTCGAAGATCTGGATTTGATCCCCAGCATTGGGAAAAATCTTGACATAGCAGAAGACTTGGATAAATTCAAAGTAAAAATAATGTTAGAAAATAGAGCCAGCTCCTGATGAGGACAATACAGAAGGGCCATCTGAGTTCACAAGTTCAAGGCCAGACAGGACAACACAGCTGACCCGTTCTCAAAAAGGAATGTAGGTAATTTTAGAAAATAGGAGGTCATCTTTTAAATTAGAAAAGGTAAGATTTTAAAAACACTTATGAAATGAATAAATATCTGAGGTAAATGAACATGGAGGGAGAATGCTGTAACTATCATGAAAATTTGAAGCTATTACATCAATTACACCTTGTCCAAATCTCACATTATTAATGGACATTAAATTACTAATACAAATAAAAGACAAAATGGGGGTGGGAGACCAAAAGACAGCACTCTATTAGACATGTAATTCAATTATATTGAGCTAAACTATTTACCCATAGGTTTTTGTAGATAGCACAATTATTCACCAATTTAATAACATTCTTTCAAAATCATAACTTCATTTGGATATTCCTCGATGGAAAACCAAACATGCTGAAAAGAAAACAGCTACCTATGCTGATTTTTCCAATCAAATCATACTGTTCAAAATAAAACTTACAAATTCAGTAGATATTAAAGACACAGGCTAGGCCAGTTCAGCCCTGTCATACTCACTTCAGCAAATTCGGTTTCATTTATAGGAATGGCCCCACAGGCAGACACCTGCAAGACCACGAGGAGCATGAGGAACTTCATTGTGACCAGATCTCTCAGCAGAGCTCTGCTCTCTAAGTTCCCTTAAAGTCCGCTTTATATAACACTTTAGTCCGGATCTGTGAACGTGAAATCCTCTGAGTGACTCACAGTTGATATCATCTCTTACTGTACTTCAGAAGCATGTGAATGGACAGTGGGTCAAAGTGCCATACAAGTCATCACTCACCTAATCATGTCTAGAGTATTTCTTCAAAATGACCAGTGAGCCTGAGCTTCTACTTACTTATAAGCATAGGTAAGACACAACAACAAATCTACCAAAACTCTGCCAGTAGAGTTTTGGAAAGCTTGGTGTTGTCCATTCTCCTTACAATGCTTTCCTTATACTCATTACAGAAGAAGTGCTTTAAAGGAGATTTTAAAAGAATGTGTGGAGAAAATACTTTTGCTAGAATATGCTGTGTGGACAGAACTCTGTCTAACCCCTTTAATCCCATCACAAGCATCTTCTAGATGAATAGTCTAGGGTATGGGTGTACAAGTGGGCTACTCTCTCCAATCTCTCTGAGATGGGACATGCTGGCTACTTCCTAATGTTAATTTTAATGAATTTTAGGGGCCTATTAGATGATTTAGCAGACAAAGATACTTCCTCCAAAACTTCATGACCTGAGTTGGATCTCCAGGAACCCACATAGTGAGTGGAAGGTGAGGACACATGTTTGGAAGTTGTCCGCTAGCCTTCACAAGCCTATTATGGCATGCATGCACACAGAGAGACATATATAATAAACAAATGAATGAATATTGATGTTTCGGTTATCATGCAAAACAACAGATCCAGTATGGCTTCTTCATACACATGTGTCCTATGCTTTGTTCTCCTTTGTTCCCCTTTTCTAACGATTTTAGAAGTTTCAGACAGGAAGAGAAGGAACACACACTCCCACCCCTGCCACCACACTATCCCGTATCCTTACCCTACCTCTTTCATATTCTGTGGCTTGATTTCTAGGTGACCCACTTGGAATGGGGACAATATGCTTTAACCTACTTATGCTATTGTGACAATTAAATGAGACAGTGAGTTAAGCACTCTAGTGACAGGAAGTTCCCCACTGTTACCCAGTCAATTCCCTTTGTCCTTAACAGGGATTATCAAGCATTGAATTGGAAAGCAGAAGAAGCTCAAGGGTTCAGAAAGAGAATGATCATGTGTTGAACATTGTAAGGAAATCCTTTCAAATACCGAATCTAACTCAATAATCGTAAGAGGAACAGAACTGGGTTGGGCTACAAAGTGGGAAAATGGAGGTTTTTTGTTTGTCTGTTTGTTGTGTATTCCTGGTGCTGAAAAGTACCTTGAGGGTAGTAGACACTCAGTACCACTGAGTCTGGTTGGAGAACATTAAGGACATTGGAAATGAACCTCACAGGTGGGAGCAATCACTACCAGGAGGGTGTGTTCCTGATCCACTGAAAGCAAGAACTGGTCTCATCCACAGCAAGACAGAATTCAGTTCTTGGAAGATTTGCAGGAAATTTCTCGTGCATGTAGGATGCAAGACGCAAGAGGATAACAGAGATACTAAGAAGTGAGAGTGCCCTAAACAGAAATGAGAGTAGGTGAACACGTTTTGGTTCTCTTGTGTCTCAACTCACCAGTTGCTCCAAATTAGTCAAGTGTAAGGAGAGAAAGACTACATGGGTAGCTACAGGCACTTCCGAGGTTGTCAAGTTAATTCCTAGACTAAAGCTGACCTGATTAAGGATCTTAGTCTGGTGTTTTATGACCTTCAAGATGAGTTTTCCACTTGTAAAGTTGAAGTAAAAATTGTTTCTACACCAGGGATGGTTATAAATAATAGGGAAAAGTAGTGAGCCAATGGCCTGGCACAGCTTAAAGGTCACCTACAATGCAACCCTACACGTACAGCTCAGAGAAAATCAGAGAAGAGGTGGTGAAAGGATTACAAGCAACAAAGGTCCAGGACCCTGATGTGAGATAGTGTCTTCTAGATATGACAGGGATGTTGCACCCATGAAAATTCAACAATACGCTCACTTAAGCAAGGCCTGTGTAATTGCAATACCAGTTAACTTGTCAACATGGATGGGGTGCATATTACAAGGCTCCTGAATGAAAGCTACAAGCAGTCAATGGTGGCTGAGAGAAAAAGAATCAGTTTTTTTCTGGGGCTAAGCGGATAAGCCCCCTTGATATCTTATCCAACTCCAAGTGATCAGCCTTAGAAACATACAGAGGCTGGGTTATGGTGGAGCACAACTTTAATCCTAGCACTCAGGAGGCAGAGGCAGGCAGATCTCCATGGGTTTGAGGCCAGCCTGGTCTACAGAATGAGTTCCAGGACTGACTGCAAAAGCTACACAGAGAACCCAGTCTCTAAAAACAAAACAAAACAGCCCCCTAAAACATACACACAGAAGCAAAACTGTATGCTAAATGGACTCAGTAAAATCTCTCTCTCTCTCTCTCTCTCTCCCCTCCCCCCCCCCTCCCCCCCCCCCAC